CAACGAGGGTGGTGTTCCTGGATTCTATTTGATAGTTTTCTTGTTGTGCAGTGCATCTAGCACGCTATCCAGAAGTAAGCAAACCAGTAGATGCAGACCCTATTGGTTTGGGTGGCTTTCCATCTTTAAAATGAAAACGAATTGCTGGAGGTGTAGAGGAACTGATGAGAAGTGCCGCCGTACGGAATGTTTTACTTACCATTCGGCAAGCTGTTCGCGTCACTCATTTCCCCGCTATTTAAAAAAACAGCTTTTTTTATCGAAGTTTTATTTTCAATGTCTCAGTGAACGTTTTTCATATGCTGAAACTTTTTACGCCTTATGCGCTAGTATGAGAGGTAAGGAAACGAATGGGGCGTGAAAACCACACAGTCACAGGAATCGACCATATTCGAATCTTTCAAATTCCTCATTTACACAGAAGCTCCTTGATGGTTAGCTTATTCCATGTTGACAGCTAGTTGTTCGACTGTGTCTTCGATCATAGCAATCGGCATATTATTAATTCTGACCCTGAATACTTTATAGTGATTATCCTGTCAACCAATGACCTTGAATAAGGCTTCAGGGTTTTGAAGTAGGTTGCCCTGAGGATGTAAGTCATCCGGTTGACGTCCACAAAGATACTAATAAACATATGGTTGTAAGAAGCTGTGGAAACGATGACTAGTAAAATAGAACCCAAAAACGAAACTACACTATATCTGAACTGTATATGACCAGAAAACCGATTATATTTCCAATTGATCTGAGTTTTGAAATTTTCGGTTGGGTCACATAAAACATCAGATCATCTTTTGAATTGAATTTGATCATATGAAGAATTTCATTTGCGAGTACTACAGTCCACCGTTCGAAAAATAAACTAGCACGCGCATGAGACAGTTGATTGGCTGTTAACTGGAACGGGGCTTTAAGTGATTACAACTTATAATCATGTCCTATACTCGGATAACTACTGGGTATATCAGGTTTTTAGCTTAATTTTAGCAAGAACGCGGATCCAAAGTTCAAGTATACAGACCGCCAATATGCGCGTGAAGTATTGACAACGCACTACACCCGTGACAAACAATGTTGAAATATATGTGGAACTGAAATTAGGTTGGATATCGTTTCGAAATTTTCCATGGAATATTTCACTAGTTAAATCCAGTATGCGTGAAAATTACCGATCAGCAAAATTATCATGTCGTTACAGTCTGCCATAATTGAATTAGCACATTATCACTGGAATACATCAGTTTAGCCAAGTTGGCAAATACCGGGCCGAAGAGAAGATAGTTTGAACAAACGAATTTTCAAATAGTACGGTAAACAGTACCTTGTGGAAAAGTTTGTTTGGTTCAGGGTGAATGGTGCAAATGTGTTTTGAACAGGTTTGTCAGATTTTTGAAGCAAATTGATAATTTCTCCGAAAACACCATGGATGAAAGCTTAAAAAGACGACGTTTACTGACATATACCAAAAGAATAAGCAACCTTGAGGAAGGCCAACAAAATCGTCAATCATGTGACATTGGCTATGCTATATATATATTACTCGCAAGTACATGGTTTTCCTTCATAGCCTATCGTAGTGTTGATCAGTTTTTTCATTTGAAATCATTGAGTTCTAAAAATAAAATAAAAATTCGAGAAATACCTGACGTCGCAGCTTCAGGTAGATGAATTTCTTCAAATAGCCTAAGTGGTATGTGAATCATTTTGACAAAATCGTTTTTTTCACGTCGGTGTCAAAATGAATGGACTAGATTAGACTATTTCGAAGCGGCTGACGAAAACAAGCCAACAGAACAAAGGACCATAAACTCCCCCATGAAGGTTGTTTATGGTGATTTGACATTTGGCTGATTGTGTAGCACAAATGGTTACAGACATTTACGTTTTTCCAGGATGCTTGACAAACGCAATTGTTGATACAGTGAAATAAGTTCGCAGCGATGCTAATTCCTGGATTCACTTCTGTAAACACTATCTCATTTTTGGTTGTTTGATTTAAAAAAGGTTGCTAACAATCATTCTGACCCCGGTGTGGAGAAACTCTGAACTTTGTTCGTCTCAATATCGGTTATTTTTCTTCGAATATCGGAGGACCATCAAAATGCAAGACCTCAATTTACGTTTAACAATTCACTGATACGTGTGAGGCAAGTTTCATCCGTTCAGCCACCAGACGTTTTCAGGTGATCCCAATAAAATATCTGACGTCAATCGGTTTACTGAGAACAAATCAGAAGGAAGACGACAATATTTATTACACATTCGATCGATTTCCGTTGCGAGATCACCGCCTAGGAATATTTTCGTCTGATGTATAAATCCAAACAACGATTCTCTAAGAAAGTGAACGGTTAAATTGCCTCAGTCATAGAGGTAATCTCACTTTTGCTACATAAGATACAGCATACGCCTGCCTTGGTCATCGACGATTAGACTATCAACCCGGGCAAGATGATCCCTAAAACAAAACCTTCAGAAGCAGTTTTTCTGGCTTAGTGATATCATCAATTAACTTTTCTGCTGTCTTTCGTCTACTCGTATTTTATTTCTACAAGATATGGTATAACTGACCAGTTAATGAAGCACCGGTAACAAGCTGATTTTCTACTTTGTTGCGTTATGCGTATCCAGCTAGGAATTCTCAAACAATTAGCAAACCAAGACATTGGATAGACTTCAGACATCCATCAGTGAGCAAACCTGGTAATGTCTCCCCCTGCGAAAAGCAGATAATAACTCAGAGGTCAAAGATGTGAACTAACTGAGTAGATTGCCCACTCACCAACAAAGGATTGAAGTTTACCTTGTGCAAAAGTAGGCAGGATTTGTGCGTGCTTGAATGCACTTGCGTGCGTTCATATTCTGATCAGGAGAAATAGCTCGTTTTGGATTGTTTACTATGCATATTGATTCGCAAACAAATATGTCGGTCAAACAGCTGTGTTCGATCGTTGCTGTGCGCTCTACGAAAACCTCTATTGAAATAGACGGTATTGTCCTTGCATTATACACCAGGCTTTTCTATCATTACTGAAACTACTACTACTTCTACCACTACTACCACTACTACTACTACTACTACTACTACTACTACTACTACTACTACTACTTTTACCACTAACATGTATAAGAATGTGCTCGTGAAAAATCAAATGATTGAACACATCAATATGGTAATATTTTCACAAGTTAATTATTTATTTGGGTTGATCTGAGGATCTTTTTTGCAGTTTTGATAAAACCACCCTGGTCGATTCAACAGGCGTTGGTAAAAGAGACTTAGACGTTCCTGAACGATATACTGGAGTCAAGCAACTTTTTGAGCATGAACGGGAAAACGTTTTGTTCACGTGGAACATAACATTTAGTTCGGAACTAACTGTTTGCTACTATAGCGACACAAGTAAAATAATAAGAATATTGATTTTTGTTTCTGTAACATTCATCGTATTTTTAAAGAAAATGAGTTTTACTTTAGACCAGTATGAGGTCATAACTGAAGATGGCTTTTCAATACTTTACTCCCGGCAGTATAACAATATTGACCTTTCATTCCTGCAGTGTTAGATTCAGGCTATTTAACTGTCACAGACGGATCTGATTACCAACATCCTTTAGGAGTATAATAGAATATTGTGTCATGCACACGGTTTTACTCCTTTTTTGTCAATTATATTGAATTTCACAACTGATAACTAACTAACCTGGATCAAAAATGAACTATTAGTGGATGATAGTAATTGTGCTCTACTTCGGTTTGATAACCTGATTGACCGGCATTTAATAAACACATAGAAGTCGTCTGCATTGCGGTGAGACATGAAAAGTTGGGCACTATGGCAGTGCGATTTCACTCTCCAGTTTGTGTACCGATTGAATTTAACAAATGCTGCAACCTTAAACGCTTGGGATAACGTTTATGTATGACAGAATGCAGTATAAGATTTTGTCGCATGTCTCTAAAGCATGACACACAATTTCGACTATCCTTTAAAGAGGGATCAATTGGACGACTGTATTTACATTTTTTTCCGTTAACATGTCTGTTCAGCTAAGAATTCACCAATGGAAGATATGTTTAAAACCGGGGCAAAATGAAAGGAATTACACCTCCCATTTTGCATGATTTTTGTGGCTTGATGAATAAAAAGAAACTGGCTCATTTTATGACTGGGCGAATAAACAGCTTCGGTTTAAATGTCGGGCAAAAGAAGCCAGGAGAAGAAGCGGTTGCAATGCATTTGGATTACACACACACACACACACACACACACACACACACACACACTTAATCTGCATAAATGAGTTGCAGTCCCATGCCAACAGAAAAAAATCCCAGATCGTTCACTCTCACCACGCACCCCAACCGGCAACCCATCTCCTTGTAACTCATCAAACCCGCACATCAAGTTGAGGTCTTTTGCAGTGCATGAACTTTTGCCTAACAGATGCATTGTCTCTCAAATATATATCTGTGGATTATCAGCGGAAATTCCTGGGGGAAATGCGTTCATCCTGGATTCTTTTTAATGAATTGGTTGTCTCAAACCAAGTCGTTTGTTTTTGCTTGATAGGGATTTCCAGTCTAGTTGTGGGCTTTATGATTGGGGATTGGGTTTTTACATATCTTGCATCATTTTCGTTCCTTTTATTTAGCCCTTGCGAAACTCATGCGAATTGAAGATTCCATCCACGTTTCACATTAGCGGGCCCAAAAAGGGGTCTCAGCTATAAAAACAGGAATGCATGCTTGTATGATTAAAATACTTAGCACTCAAAGTTTATTTTTCAATGAAATATTACTTATTCAGGCAAAGAGAGGCTAGCTGCTCATCGATGGGAAATATGTACAGTCTAACGTAGTTAAGACTGCCTCATAATCAGGTAAAATTGCAAAAGATAATTGAAAAGCATTCCGTGAATTTCGACTCATTTACTTGATTGTGTCTAAAAAGACGATTTGTATTGAGACGAAACATAATACGAGTTAAACTTACTTCCCGTAGGCATTCGGAAAGTTCTCCCAAAATTTCTTTTTCATTAAACATTTTTCCTTTGTACCGATGCTCATAGTAGCCGGTTATTCGTTGTCGCAGACTCCGAGGATACTTTTTGTAGGCCATATACTCTTCCACTTGTTTGAGCTGAAATCAAGAAAATAGTGGCTTTGGTTTATTTTATTCTTTGGTCAGATTCCGAATAGAAAATGGAAAAACGATATCTAGAGACACATCCTACTCTCATTTTGTGGACGTACGTCAACCATGGGCTTACGAGAAACATGAAATTAAACACTAAAAAAGAATTATTTTATTGGAGTAGTTGAACGAATTATAGTAGACTGACGAAAACTTCCCTAATTGCTACCAACGCGAGTATCTAATCCGTTGCAAGCGTGAACGTATGCCTTAATCATCTGACGCATGGTGAACGCGAGAAAGACGCTTCATTAAAAAAAGCTAATAATGTATACTTGTGATTATCAGTGACGTCACTCACAACCTCGATGTCGTAATAGAGTTTTATTCTTAATAGAAAAGCTTCAAGGCCCAAGTGTGTTTCACCTCCGCTGAACACCAGCAATTTCGTTTTTAACCTTACGATAATATACCAATTAAATGTCGAAAATCAACCTCACTCTAAACGGCTCTCTTCTGCAATTATAAGACAAGGGAAAGGTGTGATGACAACTTTCATTCACCTTTTGTTAAGGACAACCTTGTAAAACTTCAAAACCGACGGTAAATGCAAGCTTGTTATTTTTCTCCTTTTAGATAAAACAGTCGATTTTTCGGAGACAATTGTCTCCGAAAAGAAAAATGGCATCCCGCCCAACCCCCTTTTCGAGTAACACGTGCATGCAACTTTTCGTGTGGTGCAAGAAACCAATCAGAGTGGATCAAACTGGGTCATGTCGGGACACTAGATGTAACAGTATAGTCGACATGCATCGTTGAGCGATTGACGGGTCGAATGACCGACTGCATTCCACCACGCACTGACTGACTGGCTGACCACTGTTCCATCGAAATCAGTATCACAGCGTGCAGTGCCAATGGAGTCTAATTCGAGGCATTTAACGTAATTGATTCCTTGATTATATCAATTGTTAGGGAGAGGAAATATTCAGTGTTACATGGTACAGATAAATTTTCCAAGGGATTTCAATGAAATACGGAACTGGCTTAAGGTTTCCTTGGATGTGTTGATCTAAAATCATTTTAGCATGATACAAAGTTTTCAAATGTATGGTTTAATCAAACACCAGTAAAGCTATCACGATGAGAGCTATAATGACGTTATCCAAAAGTTATTGAATAGAGAATAATCTATTATTCGTTGTACAATTTTTTTAAATTGAATGTGGTACACCGTTTTCCCTTTATTCGATCGGTCAAAAAGAATCAATCAGGATTTATAAATAAAGATCCACTTGATCTCGTTCATCTAATGGCATAATGATCAAATTATGATTCCAGTCGGACAGCAAGACATCTACTCAATCGCCTTAAACAACAACAGTCCGGTTTGCTGGATCGGACATTGACGAGGAAACAAGTGACAAGAATTATCAACTAAACACACAGTACCATGGTACTCCTGCCAGAAGAAGCTGGGTCAAAGAAATCCGTTTCTGAATTCAGTTTTCAATGGAAGCAGTTGTTATCTGTCACCAACCCTTCACTTTGTACACCAAAAAGAGTTAGTAAGTTTTCCATAGCCATAGAGAGTGATGACAGTGCATTACCCACTCCTTAAATATCATTCATCCCTAGTGTCCACTCTCTCTCTCTCACACACAAATACCACTTCACAAGCCACTTCACAAGCACTGATGATGTCACCTCGGCTGGTGATGAAACGTTTGCAAACAAATTGTCAGGCTCGGCGAACAGGCGAAATGGAACAAAAATACCATGCTTCTCATACCATAACATGTAATATATTTGGTTGATCGTAACCGATATTTAGAGACACTGATTGTTATGAATATATGTAGTAAACAGTGGCGTTCGTTCATCTTCTCAAATTCTTTGCAGCCATAGTTTACTGGAGTTCTCAATTTTCTCTTCGACTCTGCCTTTAACCTCCTTGTCTTTCTCCTACTGTTCATCTAGATGGGTTGTCAAATACAGCGACCAAAACCGGCGCACGAAAGTGCATGGTTATGGGTTGTTCAAATTGAAGCTTAAATGCATTTGGCCAGTCGGTCAAGCACAAAAGGAAACGTGCTTGTATGTATGTATGCTTTATTGTGGTACTTTGATCAATTACTCCGCGGAAGTTATTTGTAACAAAACGTTTCCTCATGCTTAGTCATATAACAGTGTTACAATTCACATGTCACGATGAAACAGCGTCGGAGAGATGCAAGGTTTCTCGGCGCAAAGTGATATTGAAGTAAGCAAATGAAGCAGACTAAATAGACCGGCATTCCATTTCACAAGAAGATGCAGTGCATAGGAAATCGGAAACCTCGAACAACCGCTTTTTGGTTTTCAAAATTTGTCCGGAAGCAGGTTTTGCTTCTTTTTACTGTTTGCTGTAAGCAAACACAAAAGCAGATGTAAGGGCGTATCTGTAAACAAAGATGGGGGGGGGGACACATGCACCAGATTCGATAGAATGTATTTGGTTGTTGTCTGTTTGAACGGCACGTTTTTAGTCAGCATACTCTAACGAAAAAAGTGATCTCACATTACTTCAGATTTTCTCACTCATCTTACAGAGTGGACTAAAATACAGTCAACTTTCGGACTTTATAGATTTCTCAATGACATTTCAAACACAATTAGGATGCGTATAAACATAGTGGGGGGAAGAGATAGTAAATTTCCCGATGAGAATAATGCCGCTTGAGTGAGATCGAAAATTATGCGTCAATTTCGTTACACGCAACTTTATCGGCCTCTTCTAATTTACTGTCCAAAAAGTTATTTTGGAAGCCATCTTGGTGGTAACTATTGCGTTGATCGAAGCATCACTAGTTGAATACAAACTAATAAAGTGTTTCGACAAGGGCTTACCGGTTTCAAATACTACTACTAAGGAGACCGGCTGTCTACTGAAAACAACTAGTAAATCGGTGCAGGGTTATCCATGCAGACCTGCGCATGTGTTGACGGTAGAGAAGGAATTAAGGAAAACGATGAATAATCGATCCATATTCACTCTCAATTGCAGTCATGTCTCAGTCAATTTGGCTGCAGAGAAGGTTTCCGTAAAACTATTCATCTTCCCACGATTATGATGCTCACAGCAATCAACACGACTCGGAATAGACTGCTGAGCGTTCGATCCAAATAGCTTTCTTAGAAGGAGATAATTGTTGCACCGAACACCCTAAACACATGCGGACACAAATTAACTTACTTCGGTACAACACGGTAAATTTAGACTACTTTCGTGGGACAGTTAAACAATGACTCTATTAAACAGGTAAATTAGTCAGAAAAGCACAATATCAGAACTCGTTGCATTTTATTTTTAACTTTTTGTACAACTGTTTGCGCCAGGGTAGCTCTTTTCGGAGAAATCATATTTCAGAAGAAATCAATGAATCCAAGAACAGTTTTTTTGAGCACTCGTAAATAAAATTGGTGCTTAAATTCATCTGACTCATTTGAATTATCGTCTGGAAAATTGAAAAGTTGCAGCGATGTTAAAATAATGTACAAGAAAAAATAGAAGAATGGTGTCGCCGAGGAAGGGTGGTAAATTAGCCCTTGTTTTCATGACTAAATTTTTCTTACTGGATCAATTACTGTTTCCGGTTCTCAAATAAATTACTTCAACTATTAGCGGTCTGGCACAACGCCTTGCCCTAGACAAAGAATTGGTTCCCCTTTGTCTCTAACAGCTGCCAGTTGCCAACTTGTCATCTA